CCCCAAAACCCCAAAACCCCAAAACCCCATACTGTCGCAATTTAAAGAGTTTAAATGTAACTGAAAATAAATATTTAAATAAGCTTTCATCATTGCTGTGCTCTCTACATTATCAATCAAAGACTTTCATTTAATTACCTTAATATTTAGTTGGGGAAGTTTATCCGTGCTATTCTCTCTTGGAGGAGGAGAATCTTCAATTGTAGCACCTTACCTTAGTTGCGAGCCTTTCCTAGAGCCGAACTGAGCATTCTACTTTGTGTAAAATTAGTATCCTGTTCTAGCACTATTTTTAGCAGAAACGTTGATATTTTAAGGCATTTCAACATTTATCATGTGCTCATGAATAGTCTAAGAATGATTGAAGAAACTTGTATCATTTTAGGTTGAACCTGCTCTGATCTAAGTCTAATCGGCTCTTGAGTTATCAATTGATGGCTCTGGCTTCATCATAGCCAATATCTTTGAGAATCCCGGTCCATACTATACATAATTTATGAGCATGAATAAATTATACTCTTGAAATTCTATCGTTAGGTTCTCTAAATGGAAGCTTCTTCCATGGATGATAGTCAGCTATTTATCCTGAGAGATTGATGATATTTCTTTCGCAAGATGCACACGTCAACCCATTTAAAGGTTTCTTTGTGAACATAGCATCATCCTCGTTTTGCCTTGGGCTATTTTTGGACATCATCAAATCAAATATGGTTTTGACCTAACCAAATTATTAGCAAACAGTATTTTACATTTTTCTCTAAATTAGTGAGTCTTTTAACAGTGTCCTTTTTATCTGCAAACATTCCTAAGAATTTTTGAAGCATTTCATTGAGCTTTTCCATAATCCTGTTTTCAAGTTTTTAAAGCTCGTCTTTGTCTGCTTTATTCAGAAGCTGCTCGAAAATATTCTTGATATTATTATCATTATCATCTCTATAACCAATAAATTCATTTCTGAGTCTATTTAATTCATCTTAAAGTCTTCTAATGACACTTTCATCAACTGCCCCTAATTTCTTATTTGCTTCATTCATAAAATCGTCAAGTTTCTTATTCAATTCGTTAATGGTTTTCTTATATTGTGAAAGAACGCTCTCAACATATTCCATTCTATTTCTCAGAAGTAAAATGTCATTTGTCGAAGGGCCTCCAGTATTTACCACTTATGGAGGAGTATTTTTAATATCATTTAGGAATTCGAAAAGATTTGCAATATCATTGGTATGCTTATCAACTTTTGACTGTAATTTAGTCACCTAATCTTTCAAATTGCCAAGATCATCTTAAGTAACAAAATTTGTAATTGTTTTGTTTATAATGTCTATTTAATCCTTTAGTATTTGTATGTTCAAGCTCTTTAGATTCCTATTAAAAGTTTACCAAAATTATACATTACTTTAATACTGATGCTAATGAATCCTCAATTTAAGGGAATCTCTCAAGAAGTTATCTTAGTGATGCAATTTCTTTTGGATTTAGACCAGAATTCGACTACGCTGTCGGTATGGGCAATACAGACTTACTATTTACACCTTCATCAATATTCCCAATTAATGCTTTGAGACCAGCAATTTCATTATCAAAAACTTCCATATCAACTTTGTTCTCAAGTTCCCTCTCCATGAATTTCAATCTATTTAATATTTCATTAATTACCGAATCATTATTGCTGTTTGTATTTGGAAGAATTCCAGTGCTATTGTCATTGAGATTAGAAGAATTCGAATTCGATTTCACCTTTTTCTTGAGATCTTAAATATCCAAATTATTTTAGTCAGATAGATCCCTACATTGTGTAATGCTAGTTTCATGATTGTCATGCTTCTTATCAAGATCCTTAGAATGATCAGCTAAATCATCGATTCTTCTAATTAAATTTTCAAAGTTAGATTTTTGCACAAAATTATTGTGGATGTCCTTCTTAAGTTTGTCTGTTAGTTGCTCTAAAATTTCTATTAGTCCTTTGTTATCTCCATCACTTCCTTTGCCACCACCTCCTGTTGATCCTAATGCTTTAAGGAGTGTAATTGACCCTTCAGATGCTGTTAGTCTGTCCGCATGATCTTTTAAGAGGTTTTTAACTGAAAAAGGTTATAATTGTATTGAAATTACTTTCATCAATAGTTTTATCAGTTTATTATTTATATTTGTCAAAGTTGCTGTTGAGCTTGTTGTGGTTATCATCTTGAACTTTAGATTTATCCTTTAGCTGATTAACATCATTTCTCAAATTTTTAAGTACTGCATCGTGGTCTCTAAGCATTTTCATTAATTCATTGCTTGCATTATTTTTGCCTGAGTCTAGTTGAGATTTACTTTGCTCAGTTGTGAATGGCTCTTTACTATCTTCGAAAAGAGAAGCACTTCTATTATAATTGAGTTATACACAATATAAAATTTATTAAAGGTTAGTTACTCATCATGAGGAATAGTATTAGCTATTGTTGGCAAAGATTGATTGCTGGCTAAATTGCTAAGCATCTTAGAATGAGCTGCCTAATTTATGGCCAAAAACTCAATTGCTTGCTTAAGAACTTCAAATGAATAATTCAAGTTAAATAGGCTGTTTAGATCAAAGGGAAAATCCACTTTAATATCTACTGCTGAAGACATATATATTTTATTTATATTCTAATCATTAATTCGATAACTGATTTAGACTTAGACACTGTGGGGTTTTGGGGTTTTGGGGTTTTGGGG